TACTGCTCTCTGAATATACTCACTTGAATAATTTATTTTTTTTTTAACCGTCAATAATTACTTAGCAGTTAGTTGCTGTCAGAAGTCACTTGAAGTCTGTATCCCATCACCACTGACAAAAGTTCCTTTGGCCCCATCCATGACCTGATGATCCCTTTGCAATTTGCCTGCAGAAAAACAAGGTTCTCATTTTCATAAAGTTTCTAAAAAAAGCTAACCCTAACCATAACCTATTACTTTATCAGAGTACTCTGCAAAAAGGAAGTTTACTAAATCTTGACATTGATAATCTGGATAGTCCCTTAATCCTCCCTACTTAAGAGAAGAATTTTAAAGTCCAAAGAACTTAAGAATCTTGCGCTTTTTGTTTGTAGGGGGGCACCTCGTTACTGACTTCTTTATGATCTTCTATAGAAAAGCTATCATTATTGCAACCAAGGAATTGCGTCTTAGGACACAGGCGTCTGCACAGTATATCTGCTCCCAAAAAGAACTCAGTTTTATCTATTTTATGTTTATCTAATATCTCCTTCTCATCTTCTGAATTACAGGGTATTAGTTTTATAGACCAACATCACATTTCTCAAACTTTTTTGTGATCGTCTTCTAAAAAAATCAATATGGCAATATGATTGCAAATCAGAAGAACACTTCCTCATCTTCTGGGATGATGAGATGATCATCTTCTCTCATCTGGGAAGAGTGTACAATATGCCTTTTAATAACTGCATAGTATGGAAACAGTTAATATTATTATGCCTGATCCTACAGACTTTATTACTTGCAGGTAGTCCCATTAACACTGGTGATTGCTGAAATTACTTCTGTGGCTGTCTCCCAGATAAAGAATGAAGAATCAGAACCTATAAATTAAAATCAAATCACCTGTACTGAAAAATAGTGTTGCTCTTATGGAAGATAATCTTAGAATTTACATTACAGGTATATATTTGTACTTTACTTTTTTTTTTCTTCTACATTATTCATCAAAATACTTTCACTGGCTTTTTAAAGCTACATGTTCCTAAAAAGCAATAGAAAATCATACCTACAGCTCATATCAACAGGTTTTAAAAGACAGTTAGGAGCATTCATATGGGTTCTGCTGTCTTTAATCATTACTCAAGTATGAACGTTAATGTTTAGTAGTCAGGTTATCACAAACCAAATTCATATGAAGGAACATACGTGTAATATCTTTTTTAAAATGATTCTATGAAGATAGCAAGAAGGATGAATCTATTAAAAAAATTGATAATTTAACTGAATTAAGCAGGAATTACTTCTCTATTTCCAAATACAGAGGTGTAGATTTCCCAGATGATTTACAGAAGAGAATTTTACATTTTCTCTTGCGTTTAAAGTGTGAGAATATAGAATATAGACAAATGTTATGACAAAAAGTGCAGAAATTCTGAGCAAGTTTAAGCGCAATAACTATCACCAAACAGTAGTCACTCATATTAAAAACCTCCAATTAGTAACTTTGTGCAGTTTTAATAAAATTCTTAGAAGTTACACACACCTCCACAAAAAAATGCAAATCTTCACAGATGGATATCAAAACACTGGTATCTGCTTGCATTACTATCTTATTTATCCAAATTAATCAGTCAGATGGTTTTGAAGGGGAGAAAACCCCCAAACTCTTCCTATCTTGAGATGGCACAGCATTCTTTCAAGCATAATACTCACATGGTTCAGCAAAAATACATCCAAATCATAACACCTGAATATAGACACTTTTTCCCCCAATAAAGTTTCATAGTGTTATTTTCTTTCCTTTTTTCTTAGTTACATCAATAACCTTTTAAAATTATGCACACTTTTAAAATAAAAGCACACTGTCAGTAAAGTCGATGGAACTTGCAGGGGTTTTTTCTGTTTACATCTCACGCAATAATACAGGAGCTGGGAAAAGGGTGAGAGGAAGCCATCTAGACTGATTTCTTCCCACTGAACAACAATAAGAGTGATGAAAAACCTGTGCAAGCATTTGTGAAATAGATCTAATGACATTTAGCATTCAGCAGGGAAAAATGATAATTAAATAAGCATTAAACTTGAACTCTTAACTCTCCAGGTGGTGTGCAGAGCCTTCACATGCCATTGTGAATATCACATTATAAGTCCTTGAAACAAGAATTCCTAAAAAGAAAAAGAAATCTAATTTGTTTCATGTTCAGTGAATACAGAAATACATTCTGATGTTTCCATGTGCAAAATTTTAAGGTTTGGATTCTGAAAGCACTATGAACAGGCCTCCCAGTCAATCCAGATTATTTTAAGGGTTAAGATTTTACTGTACAAAAGTGCTATAATGCTCTTTAAAGTGAAAGGCAAGCTTTGGACTCCTATCACTTAAAATCAGACAGAAAAGGTCTTTCCCACTAGGTCTGCAAGACAAACTACAAGGCATATCCTTTTCACTTTACTGAAACAAGGAGTCTGGTGCAATAAAGACAAAGATGGAAGAATAAGTTACTGCCCAATTTACTTCTGATATCACATTCTCAGTAAAGTAAAATGGTGACTGCCTGGCTCATCTGCCATCACAGCCTGTCTGCTAAAATAGCACCACAACACTGGAGAGGAGGGAGGGTGTTAATGGTGATTCCAGCACTGCTATTTCATCATACTTCATGTACTGCAGAGTCAGACATCAGCTGTGGAAGAAGCCTCTCTACCCATGACTAGCTGTTTCTACAATATCTTTTTCAAGCCATGGTAATGTCTCCAAGCCATTGAAAATGAAATTTCACCTCCTGGAGGACTGTTTCTAGTAGCATTCTGCTTTAAATCCAACAGGAACTTACACCTAGCTCATGTTTCATCAATTCCCCATATATCTATTTTAAAAGTCTTATTTCTGTGATTCTGCTGATGATGACACCCCAATTTTTTGCATTAATATTCTTGCTTTTACTCTCAGGCCATATGTTACATTGTTTTTTCCTTGTTCTGGTCTCAGTGAATTTTTCTGAATCTTTCTAGAGTTAGCTGGGAGGGAAATGATTTCATCATTCATAAATATTTCAGACATTTCTACTCTTCCATCTTTTTCGTGATACAGACTCTGTTCTTGACATAAAATTTATCAAGAACTTCAGTATTGTGGACATTGCAGCAGTCACCTAGAATTAGATACATCAAGTGTAAATCACTTATACAAAGCAGACAGATCCAGATTCAGATCTCTGCTCTGTCTCTGGAGAGCCTTATCGAACAGGCTACTTTATTCATCACTGTATCACTACACTGCACAAACCTGATAAATTGTCTCCAGTTAAGCTTTTAAAACACAGCACAGATTGCTAAAGTTTCAGTTTTTAGTGCAGGTTTTCTTAATGAAAGCAATCCCAAACCATTCAAAATAAATAAATAATTAATTAATTAATTATTAAAAAAAGTATTACAAAGAGCTGGATGAGGAATGAAGTTATGAATTATATTAGGATCTTGAGCACTCAAAAATGGAAAATAATTAAGCAGAAAAAACCCTGAGTTCATTTGCATGCAAAAGCTACATTGATTTTTTTGAGAAAGATTTAGCTTAAACCAGATGAAGATTTTAAGCAAACAAAGTACTTATACCTGGCTTATATATTTCATTTTCAGTCCATCATAAACTTGTTGTTCCTTAGGAATGTGCAAAAGCAGATCATGACACATAAGGCCAGCCAGGAAAAAAAAGGCAAACAAAAAACCCCCACAAAACCCAAAAAGCAAACAAGAAAGGAGTTGAATTCATAATCTAGTTTGTAGAAGATTAGTCTTGATTTGGTATTTAGCCAGAAGTTTACTAATTAGAAAGGAATTCTATCACCCTCATTAGGGAGTGAATACAAATAGAAGAAGCACCATAATTGTTAGTATCAGTGTGGTGACTACATGGATTGATCCCTCTTCTTTATATGGTATCAAAAATAGAAAAAAATGTTATGGTAATTAAAAGTAAATTAAACCATTCCAAATGATACAATGCTTATTTCAACAAATTTAAGAGCTATGCTGTACTCAGACTAAGGAGGAGTAGACATGGTTCTATCAGAGGAATGAAGACTCCCTGTACTCGCTCTCAAGGACTGGCAATAGCCACCAAAAAAAAAAAAAATCACAGCTGTGTGTTGCTACTCGGGGCACCAGAACCAGCTCACTGGCCTGAAGAAACCTGTCTCGTATTCTTAGGACCTGTGTACTCAGAGGAACCTTTGATAACAAAGATTAATCAAGTGCCAAAGGTAATAATCTCGGTCAACAAAGTATTAACAAGTATTTTGGAAGTATATAACCATCTCAAAAACAGAAATTATTTCCTGCAAGTCATAGATTGAGACTTCCCCCCCCCTCAACTGGCAATTTCTTTTTAATGCATGCTGCCATCAATCTACCAAAAAAGTGTGATGCAACAAGCGTGCAGCTACCAAGTATGAAACTAAGCTGAGACTGGAACTGACAGGGGAGTAGCTGCATATTGTGGAGGCTCCTTTTAACTGATTATTAAAAGGAAAGCTGGGCTTGCTCCTCCTCAGGGTTACAAGTATTTGAAGACTTTTAGAATGCATTTATGTTTCTTGTAAAAAATGCACATATATAGAGTAAAATCTATTCTGAAAACTCCTAGAAGAAGAAAAGCTAGATCGTTAAGAGCTTTTGTGTAGGAAAGATGAAAATACTTACATCTACACCTGCACAAAATGGTGCAAGTCAAGTAGAGATTTTCTGTAGCATTATTTCTATTACTGTTTTAAGAATTAATGACTATAGCATCCCGGTGCAAGTAGTTGCTATTACCCATACAGTTTTGATACAGCTCAATAAAACAAAATAAAAGGAGTATAATCAAAACATCGTAGTCCTGAATCTTCTTGTAACTTTTCTGTAGCAATGTAATTCCATGGAATTCAGTCAATATTTCAACAAGAAATATCAGAGTTCGTCCTTTGACAATTTTTTTTTCCCCTCACTGTTTGGAACTCAAATATTGTTGAACCACTTACCCTTCCAGGGACGAGTCCAGAGACCAATCAGGTGATTGATGATGGGAACATGCAGGTGATGATGTTTTTAACGCAGAGCTTGACTGATACGAGATTGTACGATTCTGGTGTTGAAGCTCCTGTACAGCACGTTCCCTAAATAAACATTATTTTACAGTGAGACTAAACACTTTCAAAAAGTATCAGACTATCTCATAGTCATATGAGATAGTCTGATACTTTCATATCATAATTTTTTTTCTATTTAAGACTGTCAGCTTTTTTATTTTATTTTAGAGGATGTAGTGTTCATCATATACTTCTCTGAAAGACACATTAGTAACTCTCTCTGTATTACTCCCTGAATCAGATTTAGTTCTACATATCCATTGTCTCTATTTTCCCTAAAAGACAGAAGCTAGCCACGGTTGCTGCAGGTTAAACTCTAAAAATTGTAAAATCTCCAGGGAGGAAGAGCTTAATTTTAAGGTTATTCACAAGTCTGCAACATAATGACAATCACTAAAATCAGCAATGATATTAATGTAAGAACAGTGTTGCCTGAGGTATTCTTGTGCTGTTTGAGTTGCCAAGGCCAGTGGACTAGAGTCTACCTGAAGTGCTCTGAAACTGATGGATATTTAAGGGATGCTGGACTCCTCAGTGGGAAGGTTGTAAAACGGTATTCTCGTCATTTTGACTGCACGGGCTTGGGCCTGGATGCTGGATCAATCCCTAACTCCTGCACCTCAGCCTAGGGGGAGGAAGTACATGGGATTGGATAATACACTGAAAAGTTTTGGAGGTATATACTCATGGGGGATCCTCGTTTCAGGCTACCAATTGTTTACATGAGGAGAATCTAGTTTCCCAGTCCAACCTAGACTACTAGGAAGGGTGGCTCAACAACCCCTGAGTTTCAGTGGATAACTCCAGTAAAACCTGCACAATGGTTCATTACAAATGAATGGGTGTGTTGTGAGGACGCCACTGACCCAGGCTGGAAAAAAAGGACTCCAGGCTGCCCAAAACCTTGCAAATAAAGCTATAAAAAGGACTGCCCATACAGTGTTGAACTGAAACCGACCCCAGTGTGACTTAGCCGTTACCACAGACCTATCGAGCAGACCACTGAAGCAGATCACCAAAACCTGCAGGAGAGGGATCAGATCCAGCACCCACTCACGGATCTGAATCTACAGTCAAGAAAAGGGCTCAGTCTAGCAGCAGGAGCCCAGTGAGATGGTAACAGTCTTCCACCTAGCTACCAACATCCCACAACCTTGTTCCTGGGGCACATATGCGCTGTAAAGACTACAGAACCAGACTTACCTACATTGACTGCTAGTCTTACTAGCATTATTGCTTTTAGGGGCTTTACTATGCACATGCTGTGCTGTCTTTAATGGTCAAGATGGTGCTGGCAATGGTGGGAAGTCAGCGTGCAGCTGCTTGTACCTCTCACACATGACATTGCCCTGTAGAATCCCAAGTTTGGGTATGAATGTAGCAAAACAATGACCAATGGGGAAAAGTAATTATGGGCAAGTTTTTTATTTGGGAGGAGACTGGGGAAAAGGGAGGTACAAGGGCAGCAAAAAGGAGGGTCAAGAAACAGAAAGGGATAAAAAGATATGCAAGTCATGCAAGAGGGGCTGTCCAGGGGTACCTGACAATGAATCCCCTCCCTGTGCTTGGTCACCACAGCCAGAGCAGGACAATAAATCAAGCCTGTTGTTTCTATGTGAGCCCAAACTGCTTGTGCAGTCAGGAGGATGGGAGGGATGGGAGGTGCTTTTCCTGACAGTAAAGAAAAACCCAGACAGATGGAGAAGCCTCCTAGTATCACTGTGTTGGTGCTCATTCAAGGCCTGACAGCATTGGCACTCTCCACCTCCTAACTTCAGGCATTATTTCATCCTGCACCAAGGCAGTAAATCAATACAACTAGCTAAGTCAGTGTTAGAACAAGGTTATCGTCTACACACTTCTTTAGACTGACAACAAAAAACCCCCAGTCACTACTCACGTCTGCTGCTTCCGTTATCATGATAGCAATCATGATACTGACTTTAATGACAGTATTATTCCTCTCTGGCTAATTTTCTGGTTTTCACTTGCCAGTACCAGAAAAATACATTGGCTGTAAGAAGCCAACTTGGAGCTTTAATCCCTTTCCCTGCAAGCAAGAGAGACAGATACCTGCTCTTGTGAAGCATGACTTTCTGAAGAAAACCAGAAAATAAATAGAATTCTTGTAACCTTTGCGGGACATTGAAGGGACACTTTCGATTTTATGAAAAAGCCAAAAAAAGAAAAAAAAATTGCTTTGGGCATACTGCCATTCGGGAACCATCCCTAGCACCTTCTGTGCCCCAAGCAGTATCTGGGAGAATGCGGGTTGGTACAGGCTAAAATAATTCCAGAGTGTATACTAGTAATTAAACAGTTTGGACAAGTATATATGCAGTTGTGTGGACCCCTCAAGCTAATGCTCTGACCTGGTTTAGTTCACTAGTACAGGTGTAGCCAAAAGGTAGTCATTCGTACCACAGAACTTAGTAGTCTATAAATCACTTTTCTAGCCAACTAGTCACCTAGAGTCTCACTATAGATCAAACAGGAATCACTATAAATGAATGCAGACAAGCATCTTCAGGAAAGTGACCCATCCCATCTTAAACCAGGCAATTCCAGAGGGCAGTTTATCTCACTGTCTCATTCCATTGGCTGTAAAGGGAACCTAGACAACTAATTTAGACAGCGTATATAACAGCTACACAGACTAAATTCAGTGACATGAATAGCCTCCAAACACACAGGAGATGTGCCGCAGAGAAAAACCAAACTTTACTGTTTAACCTACTAATTAGCCTAAGTCTTAGTACTATATTGCATTTCACCCCAATTAGATGCAGGAAGCACAAGACAAAACCATATACTTGCCTTTCAAAGCGCTCAGTCCCCAGCTGTCTCTCGGTGATATCCAGTTCCAGTTCTAGCTGAACTGCTCTCTTTCTGAGCTGAGTAAAATCTCGACTCTGCACAGCACTGTAAAGTCCATACACTTTAATTAGATAGCAACTATAATCTGCCAAGTATGCCACCAATACAATTATCCAAAATGAAAAGGGCAGCTACGCCATGCAAATGAGATTAAGAACAATTTTTGGAGTAAAATGTAATACTACACAGAAAAGTCTATCAGGGTATAGCTGGGGAATCAGAAGTAGGTTTTTGGTATCTTCTGCTGTTAAGGTAACTAAGGTACATTGGCCATTTGAAAATGCAGCTAGATATAAAACCAGCTGTGTGTATATACACTTGGGAAGAATGAACAAACTGCAATATTCTCCTGGTTATTTACTCACAGTTTATTTTCTGCTAAAGAAAGCTGTTCCTTGAGAAACTGAATTTCAGAGTCTTTTCCTTGATTTGCTATCTGTGAATGAAGTTCTTTCTCACGACTGGACATAAGCAAAGATTCCAGGTTTTTCATAGATGCTCTTTCATTTCCCAGTTGTTTTCTCAGCAGCTCTATTTCAGAACGGGATGACTCACATTCGCTCTTCAGCTAAACAAAGATTTTAAAGTTTTAGATGTATGTCTGTTTCTCGGCTAATTATTTTGGAAATCTAAAAAAAAAAAAAAAAAAAAAAAGGAAGCCTGCAATCAATGACCAAAATTTGCTCTCACTCCAACATGGATGATTAGTGTTATATTTGCCCTCAGTGAAAATCCTGTGTCAGATTTATAAATTCACCCAATGTATATATCAGAATATAAATGTACTTGATACAAGTGACAAAATGCTATGAAATATATGGATCACTGGATACAAACTGCAGACAGAATCATTAAAGAAGAGGAGGAAAGTTTTACATTTTGTTGTTGCAAGAAACTACTGATTAACCCTCTGCATGCAGGAAGTGACACCTGGTATAAAAACCCAAAATCTGCATCTCCAGCAGAGTGAGATTACACTTATTTTACTTTAACAAGTATAAAGAAAAAATTTGGGGGGAAAGGGAAAATTAATAAAATCTAAAAAAAAAGATTAGACATCTACATATCTTGGGGGAACCTAAAAAAGAATACCCATAAAACCTAGTAAGTTCCACTGAAAAGGGAACAATGGACACACCTGAGCCATAAATACACAAAAAGGAAAAACAGTGAGTCAGGAAAATCTCTATTGTGTCAGCTACTGAAACACAGAAAGTGCCTGTTTTAATCTTAACGTAAGCTAGATGCTATTTTTTCTCCATCTTTTCTTGTATGCATTTTAGTATGTCTAACTGAGTCCATTTGGGGTACCGCAGATACTTCTAGCTGTATTTTACTCGAACTTAGTTTATGTTAAGCACAATAATGCTCACCCAGAGGTCATGTTAAATCTATGAACCCAGACGTTATAACAAATAGCCCAGCTCTCCAGCACATTCTTCAGAATTTTCAGAGGATAACCATTCGTGTGTTTGAACCAGGAAGATACTGAGAGTACTCTGGTCACAGGCTAACAGGGCAGGGGGGGCAACAAAAAAAAAACAAACAACACTACACCAAAACAAACCACATTTTTAACTTTCCAAAGCAGAACTCGAATTACTTGGTTTTACCAAACTAAACACTGATTTTCTACTAACTGACAATCAACAATCTAGTTCCTTTGCCTATAAACAGTTTTGATATGCTACTTTTGTAATTCAGAACAAAAGAATACTGAAAACTGTAGACAGCATAAGTTATAGGAAAAAAAAAACAGTATTAGAAACACCAAAAGAACAATATTATTCAGCATCAAGTTTAGTTTCCACTCCTGGATATATATATATATATATGCTGCAATCTAGTAACACAGATTTCTGCATTAGAATATTATGTAAAATAGGAGCCCTATCTGAAAGTTATACACAGCTGATGAAAGACTACTTGTTGAAAGGTATGAAAATATTGGTGAAAATTTCCCAACTTCAGACTTCTATCCAACTGCATTTTTCTCTCCTGAAACTGTTGCTGCTTTCCACAGCCCCAGCAAGCCCCTTCACTGACAATCTCACAGAAGGATCCAGGAAGTCTTAGTCATATGAGATCTCACAAAAGCTTCAGACAAATGTTGTATGATGGAAAAGTTCTCCACTGAAAGCACCACAGAGGATTCCACAGGCATACAAAAGACATCACACACATTTGGGTGGAACAAATAACCAACTGTCAAACAGTAGCTTTACACACGGCATATGGAAAAAGCATAGAGGTTAAAAAAGAATGCTGGAAGCCTGTAAAGAACTAGGAATTATCTCAGCTGGAGCAGAGGACAGACAGGACAGTGATAGAATCATACGGAAAATATCTGAATAATCTGAGTATGTATGAACAATTTTTCAGAGTTTATGCAAGATGAGTTTTTAAAAATTTGCCTATCAAACATTAATTCTGTAGTTTTTGTAAAAATCAAGGTCATCAGAAATTGGTCTTCAAGAGAAATTAAGGAAAGATTACTAGAGATACTGATAATTCCTAAAACAGTCAAGCATTTTAAAGTCGATGTCAAGTTTCTTTGCTAATAAACCACTCCAGCTATTTTGCTTACTTAGTGACTAGATGTAAAATCCAAGACATCTTTCAAGAAAACCACCAGTAATTTTATGTCCTGATTTTTGAGTATTCATAGTAAAACCTTGCAAAGCAGTGAGCTTTTCAAATAGTATACAGCATCCATCCTCTGAGGAGTAAGCCACTGAGGAATGTCAAATTAAACATTAAAAAATTGAAACACTAATAATCAATAGGGATATATTTGATCATTTTAGATCCCAAAGTAGATTTAGATCCCCTAAGGATAACATGAACATAAACTTTTTTTTCTAATATATTTCACATACCCCTTCTACCTTCTCTGCTGAGGAAGTTAACTGCTGATTTAATTGATCTTTGACTGCATCTAGTTTAATGCAAAGTTCTTGTGTAGATGTGAGATTTGCAAGTATAGAGACTCTTTCCTGATGCATGTTTTGAAGCTCTCCTTCCATTTTCACAAGAGACTTGCTTAAGGCAGATATCCGAGACCTGTATGCTGCTTCTGTTGTTAAATGCTACAGTAAAGCAATATCAGATAATCAAAACTCTACGGCAAAGAAAATTTAAAACTGCTTCCAAAATCTTACAAAAATATCTCTAAGTAATTGTGGTGAATTTTAAGAGACAATAGTCTTGTATTCTGGAACAAACTTTAGTTATTTATTTAAATAATGCCCATATACAAAAACTAGAGAAGAGTTCTTGCTTCTGACACCAAAATCAGCTACTGACATTCTGGACTCTATTCTTAGAATTCTACTCCTTCTGCAGAGCTAATAAGGTTCAAAATTCTGCCATAGGCCCCATTCCATTTTCAGATTAGATTCTCTTATTTTAGCAATAAAATGTATTCTTGCATGTAGACGATCAGTGAGCGCAGAGATACTGTCAGTCATACTGCTGTCACCCGTAAAGTCGGGCATGACTAAGATGACAGAAGCCACACTAAAGAGAAGTCCACAAGTCAGCAGCAGTTCTGGCTAAAGGCATTCAGAATTTTGTATATTTTAAATTAAATACAGTCGAAGTACAGCTTTCCTGTACTTCGCCCAGTGACACCTGAGTTGTATTTCTGATCACTTTTAACTACTTGACTTTCAGTAGGTGGCAGAATGAGTCTGGAAGGTTGACAAAAGCAAAGGGAGAGAGAAAGCGCTGTGACTTCCTTGAAAGATTTTCTTTGGAATGACATCAAAAGAGATGATTCTAGGTGGAGCATGTCACATTAATTCTAGCCCCATCCTACCTAAAAAAAAGCACAAGGAACACAGGGCACTGCTAAGGACGTTAAGATTTTTTGAATAAAAACTTCTGTGTTCTAGATATGTGTCTTACATGTAACTGCTATGAACCCGAATATGATATCCATCTGGATTTCTGACTCGATTTGTTGACAGAGTTTTCAGGAAGAGGCCTGTTTATTGTGATACGTAATAGCAGGCATGTGGGAAAGAATTAGAAGGATGACATCGCTACCTGTTTGAGGTTGGCTAGACAAACTAGGACCATGTACCAGTTTTATTATATTCAAAAAATGTCAAAATCTGCCACACAATCTTCCTGTGCTGTTTGCATCCATTTCCTGAACAGCAGCAGCTCAGTTTCTCTTGAACATCTAACATACACGGGTAGTCCTCAGTAGCCTACGCAATCATAGAACTTGCTACCAAAGGATGAACACATTCAAATGACATTCCTTTATCTGAAATTCTTCCTCCTTGCTTTAAAAGTTCACTCAGCATCATTAAGGAAGCCTGAGATTACGATCGATAACTGTCCACACCTATTAAATATTTTTTAAATGCAGTATTTCACCATATCTTGCTCATGTGCTATGTAATTATTTGGGGGCATGCAGAGGGTATGCCCTTGTAAAATGTCCCTCTCCATCCTTCCTGCAGGCCCCCTTCAGGTACTGGAAGGCTGCTTTAAGGTCTCCCCGCAGCCTTCTCTTCTCCAGGCTGAACAACCCCAACTCTCTCAGCCTTTCCTCATAGGAGAGGTGTTCCAGGAAGCAGAGATGATCTGCAACAAAAACTTTAACAACCCAAAACCAGAAGATAGTTTATATGTTCATAACGTATTTTCAAAGTCATTATGTGCATTGCCCTTGAAGTTCTTCAGTTTTTCAGGCGGGACGAGGATCTTTGGGACACCCAAAGCAGTGGAAAGAAGGTTGAAAAGTGGGAAGCAAGAAAAGCAGGGAGAGGAATGTAACAGCTAACAAAGCACTAGGTATTTTTCAGGTATGCTGTGCAGTTGGGTGTGACATTATGGCTTTAGTAATCCAAACATGAGAGCATTTTATAATTGATAATATTTTTTTCCTTGAAATATGCTATTATTTTTTAAGATTTTTTTCCCAAGTGAAACTAGTGGAACTCTAGTCATGTTATTAAATAAGCTCAAACTCCATATAGTTCATTGTAGCAAATATTGCTAAAATACAAGAAATGGCATTAAGCATAATTTTAAACAGCTGCAGGCTTAAAATACTACCAGACTATTTCAACGTTGAACTATGGAAGGAATGATTTCAACTTACTTGCTCCATTTTTGTTTCAAGGGAATCCATTTTCTCTTTCAACCTATGGTTCTCAGACTCCACACTGACCAGTGCCCGTCTAACAGAGCTACACTTTGCTTCTGCTTGATGGCATTTTGCTTCCCAACTTTCTCCTTGTTCACAGGCTTTGTGGTAATTCTCCAAAAGCTCACAGTTCTCTCTCTCCTAACACATAAAGCTTGTTTGTTTAGTAATTCACAGTATGCGTCACAAAATAGGGCTACCTATAGATCTACAGGTATGACAAGGTATTGGATGTTCTCTTTCCACTGAAAACTTTGCCATTTAGTCAAAACATTGAGAGACTTCTCAAGAATCAGTGTTTTGTTCAAGATGGCCACATTTGAATTCTGAAAAGGCATCGGTTACAAATGGATAGATTAACATTACAAATACAAGGTACAGCAATATATTGCAGAAGTTTGTTTGGGTTTTTTTACTATTAATCACATATGGTAATAAAGACAAGAGAGTTCCAAGTGTCTGTATTATTCATTGTCTAAATTTTTGAGTTAAATAAACACACATCTGTATATATATATATAAAAACACAATGAAATATTCTTCATTACTTGCGTACTACAAAAAACAGCAAAGAAGTATGTTCAAACTATTAAAAACATGTTAGTAGAATGCAAATCAGTTTTGTCTAGGAAGCAAATTCTTCCATGGAAATACGGTTAAAATTTCATGTTTAGTTAAAACAACAGCTTTTATTAACAGGTTTAATCCATATACTCACTTTAGACTTCAGTACACCCTTCAGCCTGACAATATCTGTGTTTGAATCCTGGGCTTTTGACTTCATATCATCAAGCTCATTTTGGCACTGTGCTAGTTTTTTATATAGTATCTATGAAGAAAGATTTGTTTCAAAAGGTTAAAGTATACTGTCTGTACCTTTACAAAAACACAGAATTAGTGCGTATCTAACGCCTATGATTTTATTAATTTGTTATTTAAAGGCTATATAAAATCTAAACCACATATATTTCTATTAAAAAATTTTGCATTTCTCAAAAATATTTTGTTTCTTTGACTTACAAATAATGCTAAATCTTCTTAGAAGAAAAATTCAATAAAAGAATGTAGCAGTTCAGAAGAAAAATACAGATGGTATATTTAGCAGCTAGATGGTCATAAAAAAAATAGTCTGCCCCATTTAACCAGACAGGCTCAGAGTCAGCTCCCTCTTTTTTACATGTTACAGTCTCTTAAAAGCCCACATTCAAAAAAGCAGAAGACAGCTAAAAAATTGGATTAACTAATTAAGTGCTAATCTCCTGATCGGGAGAAAAAAAGCCACACGTATTAGGAGAATGCACACAGAATTTCAGGCAACTATTGCTTGAGAAAGAAAACAGAATGAGGAAAAAAACCTGCAAAAAGGCTGTTTTAAACTGCCCTGTTCAGAAACTCTTCCTTACAAAATTATTATGAGGACACTCAGCTGCAAGAACTGGGGGAAGGTGAGGGGGGAGAGGGGTGTGGAGGAAGCTATGGAGAAACCCCTATTCCTGTTGTGAAAAGGCTGCAATTTGCTGAGAAAGGTGCTCTGGAAATTGGTGAATTTTTCCAGTAAGCCCAAGTGAAGAAATTAGAATGCTACTTTAAATACTTTGAGTATCACCTAAATTAATTGAAGAACCAATACACATTATAGAGGCAAGTCCATTAAAAAGTAGTTGATCCTGTGAGGCTAAGACTTTTTGTTTCTAACTCCTTCCACAAGCATCCAGGCACTGCAAAGAAAACCTTGAAGCTTTTGAAAGTAGCTAGAAGCAACAGGAGGCTGTGTTTTGTACCAGCTGAACCCATCAGTATCAACTGTGATTCTGAGAGAAGCTTCAGAGTACCGATTCCCTGGAGTAATCTCTTTCAGCAATCCGTGTTTCTAGTAATGCTCGCTACTATGGACCTTGACTTCTCTAGGGTACTCAAAGAGGGCGCTAAAGAGAACAGAGCAGTACGTTTGAGAGAAGAGTTATTTAGAATGAGATTCCTCTCACCTAATTTTTGCAGTGCAGAATTAGGCACCTGATCTAGTTAGCTATGTTTCCTCTATAATAAAGGGAGAGAGGTAAAATGGATCACATTAAAAACTTGGATGGGATGAATCTCCTTCTGGAAGGCTGTTCTTCAAAAGGAGCCTTAATGCCTGAAAACTTTTATATAGCTAAAATCAGGTGAAGTTAATCTGCTCCTTCAAAACTGGGTATCACTTCTAGAGGAAGAGAAAGCTAGGAGAGCAAAAAGTATTTTCAAAGACAAAGATACCCTAAGCAGTAAAAAAAGTGCAGAGAACTGAGCAAGTATCAGAAAACCTAAGTGACGGCAAGAGGTTGAATATAAAGAAGGAAAAACAGAATATTATATAGTGATGAACTACTACAGGTATTAAGCTTAATTTCTAGCTGCTTGGAAAATACATTGCTGCATGAACATTGTGTGTGCATGAGATGACACTTTAGTTTTAAGTATTTTAACTACTTCCATTAGTAACTGCACACAGATAAATAACACAGTAGATAATGTAATCTTGTATTATAACCAAATATTTCCAGCATCTTTTATCCAAAAGCCACTTTAAAGGAATGTAAATACAATACTATTAATAAAGTTTTGAATGCTATTAAAACGTGTATTGTCTTAAATTATTAGCAAGTCAAATTCATAAGCTTGTAAGTGCTCTAGGCCAGTCACAGCACAGTGTAAGAAATACTCGCTGCCTCCTTTATAGTACTTTTCCCTATAAGCAGTAGTTATAACTGCCACAGCGTTTTTACATGAAGATCAGAAAAAAACATTAATTAGCAGTTACTCAACATAAACATCCAAACCATTACATAAGAATAGCTGGTCCTCTTTATACAAGTAAGCTGACAATAAGGGAAAAAGCACAGTTTGAAAAATGAGCTTAAAAACTAGTTTGCAGATTTACTTCAGATAAGGACCCACCAATTCTATGCACTACTTGAAAAATACAACATTTTCCTTTTTAGTCAAAGGTTCTCTGTACAAATATACCTGATTTTCTTGCTTAATATTAGAAAGATGCTCTTGTAACCTGTCTTTCTCCTGAGCTAATGATTCTCTGTTCTTGTTAGTCTGTGCCAGTTCTTTGTTGGTTTCTTGTAGCTGTTGACGCAGACGGATGATATCTTTCTCACAGACACAGAGTGCTTCAGTAGATTTTCTATGCAGCAAATAAGAAATACTTCAGGTATGACAATACTGCCCAACCTAATACAAATGACAGCTTTTCCAGTGGCTAAATTTGCAAGTCATGAAACAAAGCTGTAACATTTTAATATTTAATAGAGTAAAAAAATATTTATACATTAGCACATCTCATGATTCAATTGTTGATTTAATGTTCTAAATTAACCAAAATTTGGTAATGATCTTGACATTTCATCCTTACTTTGTGGAATGCTCCAACTCAGAAATCAGAATCTTCAAATCTGAAATTATTTTCTCCTTGAAAAGAAATACAAAATTAAAATAAACCTCTCACCACTCCTCAGTGTAAATTGGAAAGAAAAAAAAAAACAGTTTGTTTATATTTTCCTTTTATTCAGCTAGCTGATAAATTTAACTATTTAATGCAAAATGGATTGTGATTTTTCAAGTTTCATCGTGTACTGTTTAGAGCTGAAAATTCTGATAATCTAATTTGGCAAATAAAGGAAGAAATACTGTTATCTTCTGCAGAATATAATAATTTTAATTACATTTTTTAATCCTTTGTCATTCTAAAGGTAGCATTTGTCTCACACTCTCAAAACTAAATGATGTCTTCTACCTGTTAAACAAGTTATCATAGTTTTTTTACCATGAATAAACTACAAGAGTCTGGTAGCTTGTAACTGATAGAATAAGAATTCCATCACAAAGTATATTACTTTACTCCCTTGCCTTTGTATACATATATTAAAAGAAGCATAGATAGGCTAAGGAAATGTCTTCCACTGGAGACGTAAGATAGGCGAGACACAGCCATCTCTTCTCTAAAAGGCACACCACTGTACAATTCACAGTTTTAAAAATGCAAAGTTAGTGCTTATGGCAAGATGATTTTAGCCTGTCCTGCAATATCTTTTATGATTTTGTTAAAAATCAATGCAAATTCTTGAGTTAACAATCAGAACACTTAAAAAAATACCTTCTTTAGTTTATCCTAAATCAGTATCCAGACGACTTAAGCTGAAGTAAAAAATAATGTTTCAGAACTAAGAACTAAGCAGCTTCATTATATAGTTTGAAATCACACTGTGTAGTATACGTTAAGGTGAAAAGAATCAGATCCATCTTCAATGACAACAGAGGCAATATTACTTGACACCCTGAATCTTTAACATCAGTGGACCCTAAGGAAGAATTCAGGCTAAATTTCATGATAAACAGAATATTTTATTGGCTAATTTACTCTTCTCCACTTCAGGAAAGTACTTAAAGCCTTGTCTCTTGCTAAGTATACACCATGCAAAACACCAAACATGAGATGCTCAGTACCGCTTAGGCCTACTGCTTTGTAGTCAACATGAGTTTTATTGTTACCTTGAAACTGGAGCAGAACTAGGTCAGCACTGAGCACTGTTGTATATACCAATATAAGATACGTGTGATGACCCAACAGATCTGTTCCCTATTTACCTTTTGTGACTATGTGACTGTTTACATGTTAGAACATACTTTAATTGCAAGGCTTTCCTCAAAAGTGGCAATCTTCTCTCTTCCTTGTTCCACGGAGTCTTGCAAAGATGCCTTCTCCTTATCAAGCTGTGCAACTGTTTCTTTCAAAGCACAGATCTCCTCTTGTTGTACACGACTTTGTCTTGAAAAGTTACCTGGACACAATCAGAAAGTTCTCATTTTTATTAATTCAACCCATTTGAAATAAAAAATAAAAATTCTTCTGCTATACTTCTAAAGCATAAAAGAATATGGCAAAAGCTCCTCTTCAAGAAAGCAACGAAGCACGTACCTTTTCGAAACATGTAAGTAATCCAACTGGTATTTATAGAACTGCATTCTTCCTTAGATCAAGGCATTAAATTACTTGTCTCAAAACAAATCTATCTATACAGCAAATGTTTAGATCAGTAAAAATAATTTTCTCAGCCATTATAACAATAAAGGCTTAAACAGAATTACAATATACAGAAGCAATATGTAGACTATAGCGTGTAATGACCACTGAAGTAAGAGATTGATAGAAATTATTATATATTATAGATTATAATATATTGATAGCCATTATTATATATATTAGCCATTTTTTCTGAAATATTTTTTTATTTAAATGAACTTTATGTAAGAGTAATGCATTTATAAAATTCAACACCACTTAAAAAATGCAAAGATAGTAATGAAAAAAGCCATCTACTCATTACAAAATCAAATTCTGAAAGATGTCTCTCCTTATCTTCTTTCAGCTAATAAGGTGTTACACACTACATTTACCTTTAAATGGTCAGAGAATCAATCCTTATATGATCTACATACATTGCATTTGCAGAGGACAACCACAGAAACTCTTCTTAGAGTGCATCTTACATCTCATAAAAACCATGCAGGCTGCAAATTACTCTTTAAATATCAGTGTAATTTGGCTTATTGAATGATACTTATTAACCACTTCCAGGAGATAAAACATCCAAATTAAAATGATCTGTAACTCAGTCTTCTAGGGACATCATAGAATACATTCACATTCTGTTTTTTTCCACAGAATCTTTCCCT